TTCAGTGTAGCAATATTCTTGGGATGTCTGGTGTGCATCGCTCTCTTAAGGTCATGCCACAGCATTTCAATCGGGTTGAGGTCAGGACTCTGACTGGGCCACTCCAGAAGGCGTATTCTGTGCTGTTGCAGCCATTGTTTTGTTGAATTACTTGTATGCTTTGGGTCATTGTCCTGTTGCATCACCCATCCTCTGCGGAGCTTCAGTTGGCGGACAGATGGTCGTACGTTTTCCTGCAAAATGTCTTGATAAACTCTGGAATTCATTTTCCCATCAATGACAACAATCCGTCCAGGCCCTGAGGCAGCAAAGCATCCCCAAACAATGATGCTCCCTCCGCCATGTTTTACAGTGGGGATGAGGTTTTGATGTTGGTGTGCTGTGCCTTTTTTTCTCCACACATAGTGTTGTGTGTTCTTCCCAAACAACTCAATCTTGGTTTCATCTGTCCAAAGTATATTTTGCCAGTAGTGCTGTGGAACATCCAGGTGCTCTTTTGCAAACTTCAAACGTGCTGCAATATTCTTTTTGGACAGCAATGGCTTCCTCCGTGGTGTCCTCCCATGTACTCCATTCTTGTTTAATGTTTTCCTTATTGTAGATGTGTCAACAAAAATGTTAGCATGTGCCAGAGATTTCTGTAGGTCTTTAGCTGACACTCTGGGATTCTTCTTTACCTCATGCAGCATTCTGCGCTGTGCTCTTGCAGTCATTTTCACAGGACGACAACGCCTAGGGAGAGTAGCAACAGTGCTAAACTTTCTCCATTTGTAGACAGTCTGTCTTACCGTGGACACATGAACATCAAGGCTTTTGGAGATACTTTTGTAACCCTTTTCAGCTTCATGCAAGTCAACAATTCTTGATCGTAGGTCTTCTGAGAGCTCTTTTCTGCGAGGCATGGTTCACATCAGACAGTGCTTCTTGAAACCAGTAAACCCAAAACAGGTGTGTGTTTTTTAAGGGCAGGACAGCTGTCAGCAACACCTCCAATATCATCACACTGATTGGAGTCAAGGTTGGCTCACTCCTGGCTCCAATTAGCTCTGGGAGAAGGCATTAAGCTAGGGCCTCACATACTTTTTCCTCCCTGCACTGTGAATGTTTACATGTTATGTGCAATTAAACCATGGCAACATCTAATGTTTGTGTGTAGTATTATGTTCAGCAGACTGTGTTCTTCTATTGTTGTGACTTAGATGATGTTCAGAGCACATTTTATGCCCAATTCATGCAAAACTCCACATAATCCCAAGGGGTTCACATACTTTTTCTTGCAACTGTATATAGGGGAATCAGGAGCTCTTTCCTCCTGCTAGTGATCCCTCTAGTGATGCATCCTAGAATTCAATTTGCTTCCTCCACTGCCTGGCCACACTGTTTGCTCATTTTGCAATTATCTGAAATAAGTACCCCCTAGTCCTTTTCCTCTAAAGTGCTGGCCAACAATGTACCTCCAATGCTGTACTCTCAAGTGATTCTTTTTCCCTAGGTGCATTATTTAACATTTAGAAACATTGAACTGCAATTTCCACTTTTATGACCAATCTTCTAGCAATGCCAAATCATGTTCCATGTTACATACACCTCCAGGGATATCAACCCTATTGCACACCTTTGTGTCATCAGCAGAAAGACTTACCCATTGCCATACCATAAAAGACATACCCATTGCCCAACAAACCTTTAGTTATATCACTTACATATAGATTCAATAGGACCTAGTACAGAGCCTTGTGGTACACTACTAGTGACTGGTCTCTTTTCCGAGTGAACCCCATTTACAACTACACTCGGTATCTATCCTTTAGCCAGCTGCATGTCCACTGAACCACCCAAGGGCTAAGTCCTAGCTTGTACAACTTTTGTATTAGTTCATTATGTGGAACTGTATCAAATGCCTTGCAGAAATCAAGATATGCTATGTCCACGGCACCACCCCTGGTCCAAAACATTGGTAATATAGTAAAAAAAATCCAATCAGATTAGTCTGACATGATCTGCCCTTTTTAAAGCCGTGCTGCTTTGTATCCAGCAAGTTCTGTGTTTTTAAGTGATCAATGATCCTTCTTTTCAGGAATGATTCCATTACCTTGACAACAACCGATGTTAAACTCACTGGCCTGCTTCTACCTTTCTGCCCTGCTTGTGGATAAGTACAATATTAGCTGTTCACCAGTCATAGGGAACTTCTCCTGTTAGAGTTTGATTAAAAAGATCAGTTAATAGTCCAACAACTATACCTCCAAGATTGGGCTTACGCCAATCCAGTGGTACTATGCCAATCATTAAAGAGTCCCTAAAAATTAGAAATAATGGCTTTGAAATGACAGAGCTCAATTCTTTAAGGACCCGTGTTGGGTGTATGCCATCCGGTCCAGGTGCTTTATTCACCTTTATCCTGTCTAAAGATTTCTGGATCATATCAGTTGTGAGCCAATATGGATCATCTGGAGCTGTGTCAATACCATGCCCATTATGGACAAGAGCTCCCCCATGCTCCTTTGTATACACAAAGCTGAAGAAGGTATTTAATAAATTTGCCTTCTCTTTGTCCCCAGTCACTCACTCTAGATTATTTTGTAAAAGGCCTACATGCTCAGACTTGATCTTTTTACTATTAATACATTTAATATATGCTTAAAAGGCAACATTGAAAATACACAAATCCTTTAAGTAACATGCTGAAAGGATTGAGGGATGAAGATTGCATGTGCTGTTATGGAACAGTATGATGTAATCCTTTAACAACTTGACCTCCGCAAGGTCTTATCGCCTTCCAGGACTTGTTTTTGCTATTCTGCATTACTTTAACTGGCATTTGCTCGGTCATGCAACACTTTTATTCAAATTAAATTTTTATCATTGTGTGCACACAAATAGAGCTTTCTTTTAGTGGTATTTAATCACCAGTGGGGTTTTTTATTTTTTGCTATATAAACAAAAAATAACAAAATTTTAAAAAAAAAATTTCTTAGTTTATGTTATAAAATTTTGCAAATAAATAATCTTTCTTCATAAATTTAGGCCAACATGTATTTTGATACATTTCTTTGGTAAAAATAACCTAAATCTACAAAATATGGTATATTGTAATATATATATTTGAAAATTGATTATTTCTTATGTACTGTCAGCATATCTCATTCCTTGGGGCCCTAAAACACCAGGAGAGTGCAAATAACCACCAAATGACCCCTTTCTGGAAAGTAGACAGTACAATGCAAAAGGCATTGCAAGTTTTTTGAAGTTGTGATTTTTTTGTCACAATTTTTAGGAAACTGAATAAATTAAATTATTATTATTATTTTTTTTTTTTTACATACTATCACCAGTACAGTACAGAGTCATCATATGACTGGTGTGGCAATGATCAGGGATACAGACTGGTGACAGTATGTAAAAAGAAAAAATAATGTTTTTTAATTCAATTTTTCAAAACATTTTTCTTTATTTTTAAACATTTTGCTTTTTCTTACGATTTTTTTTACATACTTTCATCAGAGTAGTTCAGTGTCATCATAGTGACACTGTACTACCCTAGGGGGTGATCAGGGATTTTTATTTTTTAACACTGTGATGATTGGTGGTACAGTGATTATCACTGTGACAGAAATCATTTGAACTGTCATGAATGGGTTACATTCATAACAGCTGGGCTTATTGTTGACATGCTGTGATTGACTACAGCTAATCACATTGTACAGGGTCCAAGTAATGATGTGTAATCATCACAGCTTTTAAACCCCTATTCAATCAGCGCAACACACCCTAAAATAATATGATAGCGACTTCACAACACCTGTACCAAAATTAAAGTCCCATGAAAAAGTCTCTTATAACACCTCTATGCAATGTGTATAAGATAAATCTCTCTTCTTCAGTGCCAACCGTGCCACCACCAATAAGTGAAAAACCTGCTCACCTCACTTTATGACCTCATCAATAGTTCATTTTGCGCTCAACATGTGGACAGACTTAAAAGAGGTGAGAAATCGAGCACTGGGTATAGAATATGTAGTAGCCTCCCTCTCCTGAACGCAGAAGAATCGTGTTCAGGATAGTAACGTTTTGACCGCCGACCGCAGGAAAATGCAATGCGATTTGCGTTTCCCCGCGGTCAGGGTAGGCTTGTGTACACGGAGCCTAATGGGTCTAATTGGTATGCCTGACTTTTATTTTTTCCATGGTGATAGGGGGTCTGTTCAAAATCAGTGATATAATGTGAAGTGGTTTAGGCACACAGAGTTTTATTTACCGTATTTTTCGCTCCATAAGACGCACTTTTTTCCCACCAAAAAAGGGGGGAAAATGTCAGTGAGTCTTATGGAGCGAATATAAAGTGGCCGGTCCGGTATTTTGCGCCGCCACCATGTCAGAATACCGGGCCGGCCGCTCAGCTGTTCTCTGCGGAAGGAACTCACCTGTTCCTCAGTCCAGCGCTGTAGTCTTCCCGCGCCGGCTTCTTCTTCCCGCCCCAGCATCTTCCCTCCCCGGCATCTGTGACAGCCGGGTGCCCACTGCGCATGCGCGAGAAGCGCTGCACTTTGTGAATGGTCCGATGTCTTCTGGGACACATGACAGGTCCCAAAAGACGCTGGGCCATTCACAAAGCGCAGTGCTTCTTGCGCATGTGCAGTGGGAACCCGGCTGTCAAAGTCGGGTGGCCACAGTATAGGAAGGAGAACTCCACGGAAGTGGGAGCGGGTACCTGTCAAATTCAGGTACCCGCTCCCCATCCCTCCCTAAAGGTCCGCAGTGTCTGGTCATGCCCTGTACTGTCTGCAGTCTCTGGTCATCTGTACTGTCTGCAGTCTCTGGTCATCTGTACTGTCCACAGTCTCTCTGGTCATCTCTTGTACTGTTTGCAGTCTCTGGTCATCTCCTGTACTGTCCGCAGTCTCTGGTCATCCCCTATACTGTCCGCAGTCTCTGGTCATCCCCTGTACTGTCTGCAGTCTCTGGTCATCCCCTGTACTGTCTGCAGTCTCTGGTCATCTCCTGTACTGTGTCCGCAGTCTCTGGTCATCTCCTGTACTGTGTCCACAGTCTCTGGTCCATCTCCTGTACTGTGTCCACAGTCTCTGGTCCATCTCCTGTACTATGTCCTCAGTCTCTGGTCATCTACTGTAGTATGTCCGCAGTCTCTGGTCATCTCCTGTAGTATATCCGCGGTCTCTGGTCATCTCCTGTACTGGGTCCACAGTCTCTGATCCATCTCCTGTACTGTGTCCACAGTCTCTGGTCCTTCTCCTGTATTATGTCCACAGTCTCTGGTCCTTCTCCTGTATTATGTCTGCAGTCTCTGATCATCTCCTGTACTGTGTCCGCAGTCTCTGGTCATCTCCTGTACTGTGTGCGCAGTCTCTGGTCATCCCCTGTACTGTGTCCGCAGTCTCTGGTCATCTCCTGTACTGTGTCCGCAGTCTCCGGCCATCTCCTGTACTGTGTCCGCAGTCTCCGGCCATCTCCTGTACTGTGTCCGCAGTCTCCGGCCATCTCCTGTACTGTGTCCGCAGTCTCCGGCCATCTCCTGTACTGTGTCCGCAGTCTCCGGCCATCTCCTGTACTATGTCCGCAGTCTCTGGTCATCTCCTGTACTGTGTCCGCAGTCTCTGGTCATCTCTTGTACTGTCTGCAGTCTCTGGTCATCTCCTGTACTGTGTCCGCAGTGTCTGGTCACTTCCTGTACTATGTCTGCAGTCCATTGGTTCAGAATATTTTTTTTCTTGTTTTTCTCCTTTAAAACCTAGGCGCGTCTTATGGTCAGGTGCGTCTTATGGAGCGAAAAATACGGTAGTTTAAATTTTCTTTCAAATGATGCATTGCGAGCTGAGAAAAAAAGACAGCTCCAAGATACGATAATCAGGAAAATGTAAATACTATACTCTGAGCACTCCGAAATTAAAAAAGTCCTATCAACAAAAAATGTAAATTAGCAAACCTTCAAAGGAAACAAAAATCTCAAAAAGCCAACCCTAAAATAAAAGCTCCCTTTTTTTTAAAGGAAAACATTGATAAAAAAAAAAATTTAAAACAAGTTTAACGTCAAATAAATGCTCTAACAACACTGAATAAAAAAAGCAGTATGCCTCCCAAAATAAATAAATAAATAAAAACAAAATACTGCGCAGCTAAAGCAAAAGTATTTTTAAATGGAAGCCTTGCAGCAAACAAAAGGTGCTTGATATGGATGGGACAGCATGCTAAAAGTGACCACCCACCTTAAATCAACCAAATAACAAAATAAAAAAGATAAAAGGAAAAAAAAAGACAGCAAAGGGGTCAATGGTTTGATTGTCCAAAGAACTATTATTCAGAGTTAAAGTACAGTTTCCAAACTGACCCTGAATTTCTCTATATGCAGTTTGACAGCTTTCACTATCTTTTCCCTACAGTTTTTTTCCAATACACTGACTCTATGTTCTGTGCCCCCTTTTATAGTGAGGTGGTTTGCACATAATAAATAGCCTATTATTGGTCATTCTGAAGCAGCTGACCAAAGGTCCCTGCAGTGCCTTATCATTATAGTTGATGGTGGGCGGGCAAATTGCTGGATTTGTTTGATGAGACCACATACTCTGATTGGCTTGGGTTAACCTGGAACCTCATCCCTGCATCCTGGTATTTCTATATACATTGATGCTGTTATAGGCCAACACTGCTTAATTTGATATATCAAATTATAGTTGGCACTATTTGTTTTAATAATTCACTGAGGATCCATTGACAAGATGTTCCCATAACCATGTGTGTATCTGCATTATCCCTCAAGTCAATAACAAAGATCTTTCTTGTGGTTAGATTTCTGGATTATTTTTTCATCCTGTGTCTGTTTTCTATGTTCACTGAAAAATTCTGTTTAGCTTACTCCTGGTACACGTCTTCCCCAATTTACAGAGAAGAGAATCCAGAACATAGAGACCAACCTTGGCCATGTACTTTGAGACATCAAGTGTACCGTATGTCTCAGAATCATCAAGTGTACAGTACAGGTGAAACTCAAAAAATTAGAATATCGTGCAAAAGTTCATTTATTTCAGTAATGCAACTTAAAAGATGAAACTAATATATGAGATAGACTCATTACATGCAAAGCAAAATAGTTCAAGCTGTGATTTGTCATAATTGTGATGATTATGGCTTACAGCTCATGAAAACCCCAAATCCACAATCTCAGAAAATTAGAATATTGTGAAAAGGTGCAATATTCTAGGCTCAAAGTGTCCCACTCTAATCAGCTAATTAAGCCATAACACCTGCAAAGGGTTCCTGAGCCTTTAAATGGTCTCTCAGTCTGGTTCAGTAGGAATCACAATCATGGGAAAGACTGCTGACCTGATAGTTGTGCAGAAAACCATCATTGACACCCTCCATAAGGAGGGAAAGCCTCAAAAGGTAATTGCAAAAGAAGTTGGATGTTCCCAAAGTGCTGTATCAAAGCACATTAATAGAAAGTTATGTGGAAGGGTAAAGTGTGGAAGAAAATGGTGCACAAGCAGCAGGGATGACCGCAGCCTGGAGAGGATTGTCAGGAAAAGGCCATTCAAAAGTGTTGGGGACTTTCACAAGGAGTGGACTGAGGCGGGAGTCAGTGCATCAAGAGCCACCACACACAGACAGATCCTGGACATGGGCTTCAAATGTCGTATTTCTCTTGTCAAGCCGCTCCTGAACAACAAACAACGTCAGAAGCGTCTTACCTGGGCTAAAGAAAAACAGACCTGGTCTGTTGCTCAGTGGTCCAAAGTCCTCTTTTCTGATGAGAGCAACTTTTGCATCTCATTTGAAAACCAAGGACCCAGAGTATGAAGGAAGAATGGAGAGGCACACACTGCAAGATGCTTGAAGTCCAGTGTGAAGTTTCCACCACAGTCTGTGTTGATTTGGGGAGCCATGTCATCTGCTAGTGTTGGTCCACTGTGCTTCATTAAGTCCAAGGTCAACGCAGTCGTCTACCAGGAGATTTTGGAGCACTTCATGCTTCCTTCCACAGACGAGCTTTATGGGGATGCTGACTTCATTTTCCAGCAGGACTTGGCACCTGCCCATACTGCCAAAGCACCAAAACCTGGTTCAATGGTTCAATGACCATGGGATTACTGTGCTTGATTGGCCAGCAAACTCACCTGACCTGAACCCCATAGAGAATCTATAGGGCATTGCCAAGAGAAAGATGAGAGACATGAAACCGAACAATGCAGAAGAGCTGAAGGCCGCTATTGAAGCATCCTGGTCTTCCATAACACCTCAGCAGTGCCACAGGCTGATAGTTTCCATGCCACGCTGCATTGAGGCAGTAATTGCTGCAAAAGGGGCCCAAATCAAGTACTGAGTACATATGCATGCTTATACTTTTCAGAGGTCCAATATTGTTCTATGTACAATCCTTGTTTTATTGATTGCATGTAATATTCTAATTTTCTGAGATTGTGGATTTGGGGTTTTCATGAGCTGTAAGCCATAATCATCACAATTATGACAAATCACGGCTTGAACTATCTTGCTTTGCATGTAATGTGTCTATCTCATGTATTAGTTTCACCTTTTAAGTTGCATTACTGAAATAAATGAACTTTTGCACAATATTCTACTTTTTTAGTTTCACCTGTATGTCTGGGAAAAAATATGAAATTGATATTTGTTACTTCTCTGGAATACATGCACATTTCCCCATGTTTTTGTTCTCTTTAAAATCATTGCAATTACTGGAAAGTACCCATTGACATGACTAGAATTTCAATGAGCTCAACGAGCTACTATCTTCCTGTAGTTAGCTGAAATCCAAATCAGTGTTGAATGCACTGCCTCAGTTCTTCCCTGCTGGACTACAGAATTTCTCCTATCTATGCCCTTCTGTTGCTTTCCGTATTCTTATATTGATTTCTTTCCCACAAGATGTGTTGTGGCCTTGACCACCAAAAGCCTGTCTAAATTCTGTGTGTATGGAAAGGGCTTTTGGTTGATGTAGTTCTAGGGAATATGCCTACATCGATAGGATCTAACCTAGTAAGCTGAGAGATCACTGGATTTCTAGCAGGGTCAACAATGCTAGCAGGATTTTGAAGGAAGCTAAACTTGAGGAAATGTGCATGTTTTGCATAACTGTACTGAATATGTTTCTTGTTTATTTTGCCCAGACATACACTGGAGTACACATCTGTAATACCTACCCTATACAGGTGCGTCACTGTCCACCACATTGAACTCACATTCTTGATAAATTACCCACAAATCTGCTGGGAAACCTACAATTATGTGAGTATCAATCAGCTGGGTCCCTGAAGCTCTCACTGGTTTCTTCTGCTTCTTCCATGGTAATGTCATCTCCTGTAATAACACTGAGTTCAACAAGAGAAACAATCTGAACTTCAGCCTTCAAAAAAGACCTATTATGTTTCTAAACAGCTAAATTACACACTGATATGTACTGTATTTCATAAATGATTTGTAATTTGCTAAAGCCTTTATGAAGAAGTGACTATAAGAAGCAGAAGTTGAAGTCATCGGAAGTTTCCACAGGGGTGCATGTTGCACTAGTCGAGAACCTGTGCTCCAGACTGTTTTAGAGAGCTTTAGCCTTTGTATAGTAGGGTTTTGAAGGTGTTGTGCACTAAAGGCGAACAAAAGTATTTTCAGAATAGAAATAATATTTTCTATAAAATGTTCTACAGAGAGGTGTGGTCTGCACATCATATGATTATAAAGAGTCTGATGATGAAGATGAACTTGACAATAACAGGATAGAAGAGCTGGACAAACCAATAAACACAGAGGATCTGCCTATTGTCATTGACTGGAATTCTGATCTACCAAACAACATCATGGTTCCCAAAATTGATATTCACAGTTTGATACTTGATTTTGGAGCAGTATCTTTCATCGATATGTCTGGAATGAAAGCACTGAAAGGGGTAAGTATATAAGAAGTGTTTTTTTTCCTTTGTTACAACTACAGTACATATTGGCAGAAATTCCACTCTCTGGTATTTGAAGTTAAATAAATTTAGTTTTATTCATGAAAACAGTGTTGTATAGTAATAAAAATGTACACAATTGTTTCCTGCTCCCAAAATTAAAGTAGTATTAAACCCAAAAGCAAACATATAGTATTTTGCAGCGTACCATTTGTTAGATGTGATGACTGGATTAGTTTCCTTTTTTTGGCTTTCTTTCTTCTATTTTCACCTGGTGTTTCAGCCAGCAACTTTGCTGTTTTTCACAGCACAAGCTCTCCAGCAACATGTATCAGTTTACATGGATGAGACTATTAATTTACCACTGGCAGTGATGATTAAAAAGATCAACTTTTATTTATTCATGTAAAACCTTTATCCCAAAAGGACAAAAAAATTGTTGTAACTGATTATAAAGTGTAAAGCTAGAGTTTGGCTTCAATCTGTTATTTGTATTCAAATGTGCTAATACATTTAAAGGTCTCCCCCACCCCCACCCCCTCCCAGACTGACAATGCTGCTGTCTGCAGTGTCCTGGCTTCCTGGCTCAATCCTCCAAAGTTGTGTCTCAACAATACAGGAGGCGTGTTACTGGCCAGATTACCAGGTGAAT